AAAGGGGGGTTTGGGGTTTTTTTGGTTTTTTTTGGCCCCCCCCCCCCCCCCCGGCTTGAGTGAGGTCTTGGCCCACAATCCAGGAATTCCGTGTTCTTTCAAAAGTGTACACTATATTGGGTATGGTTATTGAATATACTCTATTCAATTTTACTTATGTATGGTTTGAAGAATGCATGTTTCTAGTTCAAGGCACTGTTCTCTCTGTGTTTCACTTCCTCTGGAGGCCTAAGTTCCCTAGCCAGACTCCACCCACCCATACAAAAGAACTCTAATGGGGTTGGGGATCCCTGGTAGAGGCTTGGACCCCTAAAGTTCCCCTACAGGTTCTTCGATGCAATTGAAGAGTGCGATTTTGACAGAATTTCTTTCTACACACTGAGCATTCAAAAGGTTTCTCCCCTGTGTGAGTTCTTAGGTGCACTTGAAGACTGCCTTTCCAACGAAATCTCTTTCTACACTCTGAGCATTCAAAAGGTTTCTCCCCTGTGTGGGTTCTTAGATGCAGTTGAAGACTGCCACTCTGACTGAATCTCTTTCCACAGTCTGAGCATTCAAAAGGTTTCTCCCCTGCATGGGTTCTTTGATGCAGTTGAAGACTGCCACTCTGACTGAATCTCTTTCCACAGTCTGAGCATTCAAAAGGTTTCTCCCCTGTGTGGGTTCTTCGATGCTCTTGAAGATGGCTACTCTGATTGAATCTCTTTCCACACTCAGAACATTCAAAAGGTTTTTCCCCGGTATGGGTTCTTTGATGGAGTTGAAGATATCCTCTCTGCCCAAATCTCTTTCGACACACTGAGCATTCAAAAGGTTTCTCCCCTGTGTGGGTTCTTCGATGCTCTTGAAGATGGCCACTACGATTGAATCTCTTTCCACACTCAGAACATTCAAAAGGTTTTTCCCCTGTATGGGTTCTTTGATGGAGTTGAAGAGTGCCTCTGTGCCCGAATCTCTTTCCACACTCTGTGCATTCAAAAGGTTTCTCCCCTGTGTGGATTCTTTGATGTAGTTGAAGATTACCTCTGTGCCTGAATCTTTTTCTACACACTGAGCATTCAAAAGGTTTCTCCCCTGTGTGGGTTCTTTGATGCTGTTGAAGATGGCTACTCTGATTGAATCTCTTTCCACACTCAGAACATTCGAAAGGTTTTTCCCCTGTGTGGGTTCGTCGATGTAGTTGAAGACTGCCATGCCGACTGAATCTCTTCCCACACTCTGAGCATTCCAAAGGTTTCTCCCCTGTGTGGGTTCTTCGGTGCTGTTGAAGAGTTGAACTGTCACTGAATCTCTTTCCACACTCTGAGCATTCAAACGGTTTCTCCCCTGTGTGGGTTCTTAGATGCTGTTTAAGATGGGAACTCCGACTGAATCTCTTTCCACAATCTGAGCACTCAAAGGGTTTATCCCCTCTGTCGGTTCTTAGATGGTGCTGAAGACTGTCACTTGAACTGAATTTTTTTCCATGGAATTGGACTTGATATTGGGTTTGTTCTGAGAAGTCCATTCTATATTCTGAACACTTGTACCTATTTTCTGCTGTATGAATGACTTCTTGGAAATCCCCCCCCTGCCAAGGAATGGGTTGGTCCCTCTTCTTGACCATTTGGCCTCCTTTCTGCCTCTTGATTGTGCCTTGAATGCTCAACTTCCCTTTGAAGCCTTCATTTTTAACTTCATCTGGCAATTGCTGATGAAGCTCCTCACCCTCCTCATTCCTCTGATCATCCTCTGCTGGAAGAAAGAGAAAGATACCATTAGCCCCCAAGAGGGCAGGTAAAATCTGAAGGCATCTATGTGACTGCAGTAGGAAAGGGTTGACAGCCCTGTGGCTTTGTCCATCTTGACTGATCTTAACTAACCCCGTCCACCTCTCCCCAAAACACCAAGTACTTAAGGATACCACAGCCCCTCAAGAGCCACAGCTGAGCTCTTGCCTGGAAGGAGCTTCTGAGCCTCCAAATCTCAGGCCCCAGAAGGCCTCCCTCCCTCCTTACTCAGTGGGCTTTATAATTCTACCAAACTAAGAGTTGCCTACAAGTGAAGCAGAAGAGGCCCATGTTTATTCCTTTCCTATTCCCTTGACATAAGCAGGACTTTCTCAGTGGCGGCCCCATACTGGTGGAATGAGCTCACGGAGGAAGTCAGGGCCCTGCGGGAACTCTTGCAGTTCTGCAGGGCCTGCAAGATGGAGCTCTTCCTCAGGCTTTCAACTAGGGAGCTGCCACCACTATAGAGCCCTGGCCTTTGGTTTTGACATCTAGCCTGTGCCACAGGAAGATCATGAGCAGAATGTCTTAAAGTAAGCCATCTCAAACAACTAACTAACCATTACCAGCACTTTATGAATTTATATATTTGTAATAGGTATAACTTGAATTGTTTTTAGATGATTTTATGTTGTTTTAATTGCTATTTATGCATTGACTGTGAGCTGCCCTGAACTTGCTTTGTGGGGAGGGCGGGGTACAAATTAGATTAATAAATAAATAAATAAATAAATAAGGATACCTACTCTCAGCCAGCTCATTTGGGAAGGAAATCCTCTCCTGGGATCCTCCTGAGAAGTTCTCCAGCCATTCTTCGGATGTGAGGCCTCTGTCTGTCTCCACCACCGTCTGTCTTACATTCCTTTCTTCTGTGGCAGAGAGAGAAGGAGAACATTCTCATATCGGGTAGATAAGAAATCCAAGCAAGAAGAAAAATTCTTCTGGAAGGACGGAAATATGGTCAAGACCAAAGCCCACAATCCCAAGCAGTATAAGCGGGATGAATCCATTCCAGATCAGAGTCATGGCAGATGACAGTCATCTCCTCTGGAGGAAAGGTGTGTTGTGAAGGTTGAAATCAGGGAAATTAGGATCAGGCCCCTTTCAGAGTCTTTCTGAGGGACTGTCAGCCCTCCCTTGTCCTCAGGTCAGGACACCTTCCCTGGCTTGGGTGGTGGCCGCAACACTGGCCACAGTTGCCCTGGGCAAGTAGCAGGATAGGCCTCAAAATGGTGTCCTGCTGTTCTGAGACATGCCTCACCCTAATGACAGCAATTCACACCTTTGGGCACCTGTGAAAGATCCTTACCCAGGGAGGCTACGCTCCCATAGTTCTCCAGCATGACTTCCCTGTAGAGAGCTCGTTGGCCAGGATCCAGAAGGGTCCACTCCGCCTCGGTGAAGTACACGGCCACCTCCTCAAAGGAAAAGGGACGCTGAAAGGAAAAGCAGATTCCCCTTGTTAGAAACCATGCCAGGCAGAGGTTTGACACGGAGGGAGCATTCCCATAGGATGCTGGATGTAGAGCTTTGCACGGGTAAACACAGCCTTTCTCGCCTGGGCATCTTCCAGCCACTGCAGGAGGAAAAGCCCCCCTGAGAAAGGAGAGGGGACCCAGGTTGTCCCCTGCTCATCTCTCCTACCTGGACTGGAAGTACAGCAGCCATTTCCACATCTCTGAAAAGACAAGGACTCAACAGCATCTCTCCAGTGCCTGTTAGTGAGACAAAGGAGGAAGGAAGGGTGTTTGCCATGACTTTCTATTCCATTGGTTGGTTTGTTCCCTGCTTCACACACCCCTTTCTCAAGGGTGTGAAACCTTGCCTTTGTACACTTAACAAATTTTTAAACATTTCTCAGTAAACTGTGGGAAAGGCAGAAGTGAAGCACAAGGTACCTATGTGTTACCCAAAGAGGCAGTCTCCAAGTAGTTGGGGGAAAGGTTTTTATTAAAAGAAAAGGAGAAATCAAGAATGCATATATACCATAAAGCACATGCAAGGAGGAAAGGGGAAAGCTTTTTAGGGAAGCGTGATAATTACCAATCCTGAAGAGGTCCATAGAAGCAGCAAATCAAAGGAGGAAAAGAGCCAGCGTTTTGGGAAGTGAAAGAGAGTCTGCACTCAAGTTGGGGTGTGAGGAGAGATTCAAGACATACAAACACACTGCAGGGTAGCACAGTTATAGGGCAAAATGTACCCTGAGGTGGGTTGATGCAGTACTAGAAGACAATAACTTAATGGTTATAGTGGAGGTAAAGAAAGGTGTGGGAGAGGCATGATGGCTCTACAAGCACCAGACAGGAAAGGTGATGGGGGAAGATATATAGATCAATTGTTGATTAATAGATTGATTGCTGATTAATCATTGCTTAATCAAGGCAAGTGGGTGCAGGGGAAGCAGGCTTGTGTGTTGAGGGGATTATCCCTGAGTGAATCAATAGGTCCTGGGAGACTCGTTGTTCTAAAGTATGCATCTCTCCAGGGCGAGGGGCGGGCAGTGGCCAGGCAGTCTGCTCCTGTTAGGAATGGGCACAAACCAGGAGGTTCTCTTTAAGTGGCTTTCGTAAGAGGCAAGTTCACCCAGAAGTGAATGCACACAAAAACCCCAGACATGACTAGAGTGCATCTGGAGACTCGAGGGTAATATCAATGAGTTTTCAGAGCATCTGTTGTCATGCTAACATTACTAACAGGTTTTAAGCCAAACATGACATCTACATGACACCACGTCCTCCCCAAGATTACCATAAAGCTCCTGGGGAATTCCAGGACACAGCCTGCTATCCCTACCCCAGCGTCCTGCCAGATGCCCCTATAAGCACAGCCACAGAAGCCAAATTTTCCCATTATTATTGGCCCCTAGGAACTGGATTTCCGAGCTCTGCTGCCCCAGAAAATGGAGGCTCCCTTTATTCACCAAGTTGAATAGCTCTGCTGAGGTTTGTCTACCTTTTCTTTTTTGAGCCACCTTGACTTCCTCTTAGGGAAGGAAGGTGGGATAGGAATATTTTAATTAATGGGAGGAATTACCTCCCATGAATTTGTCTAATCCCATTTCAGACGCACCACAGTTAGTGGGCACTGAGTGCCGCAAATTAAGTCTGTGTTGTGTGAAGAGGTATCTGCTTCTTTTCCTGATCTGAACTCTCTGCCCATCAAATTCACGGGGTGCCTCAACTCCATGCAGGCACGGTGAGTCCTTACCACAGGGGAGGGCATCTTGGGCATGCTCCTGGGCCTGCGCCCTCTGCCCTTTCTCCAAGGAAGCTCCTTCCGCCACAGAGAATGTAGCTGCTTCTGTCTTCATGGATGGTGCCCACATCTGAAACAGCAGCGGGGGAGAGGGGGTAAGAGATGGAATGGGACAGACCAAGGAATAGATCCTGCCCCACTCCCAGACTCGGCACCCTTCTACCAGTGGACCTGGTGAGTTATCTGGAGGAATAAGAAATTCTCTAGTAGAAGAGGCTGCTGAAGGAGGCTGTTAAATCCCCCACTTGGATGATTAACACTTGGACAAATATCTCTCAGGGAAACTTGAGGATATGGCCAGATATCGCTGCTTGAATTGGACAAACCTGGAGGAAACCCCCTCACCTGCTCTGCCTGCCTCTTCTCCTCTGCCTGACTCAGGAGGAAGCCTTCGGCCAGGGCCACCGCCTGGGAACTGGTCTCCGGCCCACATCCTCTGACCCAGCCCTGCATTTCCTGGGGCAGGATGGCCAGGAACTGCTCCAGGATCACCAGGTCCAGCATCTGCTTCTTGGAGTGCCTCTCCGAGTCCAACCAGTAGCTGCAAAGTCCATGGAGCCGGCTGCAAACCTCTCGGGGCCCATCTGCCTCATGGTAGCGAAACTGCCGGAAGCGTCGGCAATGTACATCTGAGTTCATGGTGCCCTTAGCCAGAATCTCTGGGGCAGATCTGTCCCAGAATTCAACAGCACTCCCAGCTTGGAGGTGAAGGGGGCCTTTGCTTGCTGTCTTGCCTGTTCCATGTCCTCCTGGGTCCTGCTCTTCCATCTCCTTACCCTTCTCTTGAGTCACTTCCGAATGTGAAAAAGGCCTTTATTTACTTGGCTATGGAGAGAGGCTTCTCCCTGGTGGGGCAGAGAGAGAGACAGACAGCAATGTGTCAAAAAGAAAACAGAATGGAGATACACCACTGAACATCACAAACCTTCATCTCCTCAAGATGGGTAGACCTGGTAGTCTGCCTGTAGCAGTAAGAAAGAGTAAGAGTCCACTAGCACCTTAAAGACTAACAAAATATGTGGCAGGGGATGAGCTTTCATGAGCTACTGCTCATTTACTTAGAACAAATATCTTTCAGGGAAACTTTAGGATATGGCCAGATATCATTGCTTGAACTGGATGAACCTGAAGGGAATCCCCTCACCTGTTCTGCCTGCCTCTTCTCCCCCACCTGACTCAGGAGGAAGCCTTCGGCCAGGGCTACCGCCTGGGAACTGGTCTCCGGCCCACACCCTCTGACCCAGCATAAATCAGGACACTAAATAGCTACTCCTTTCTTATAATAGTTTTCAGGTGAGGCATTAGATAAAGAAAATGAAATTTTATACATTATAAAGTTCTCCCATATTCGATTAAACCACTGAGACAGCGAGGGAGGGTTTTTACCTAGCCATCGAGGTGCAACAAGGATACGTCCCGCTGCTAACAAATGAGCTATCAATTCTTCTTTCCGTCTTTCTTTCCTAGGATGAGGCCATTTTCC